TTCCAGGTGCTATGGTTACAGACCTTGGCCACCAGGCCTGGCTTTACCAGTCTCTCGGTGCTTCTGCCCTGCTCCATCTCCCCTGCTCCATCTCCCCTGCGGGCCTTGCTCCTGGTGGCTTCCCTGCTAGAATCAACCTCTGTCTCCCATGTCAATGGGGAGACCCTTCCTGCTTTGTCATTCGAAGGCATCATTCCTAAAACAGGACACTTGACTTTTCTCTCAACCCATGAGGAAACCTCAGCTCCACTCCCACTGTCTCCTGAGCTAATCCAGGCTGCCAGCGGTTCTGACTTGCACAGTAGTGGGCCACCTGGGTTCCCTGCTTTCCCCATCTGGGTTTCCCTTACTCTGTTCTCAGTATAGCTTCTGGAAGGATCCTTTCAAAGTCTCAATCAGCTCACGTGAGTCCTTTTTTTTTTAAAGCCTTCAAGTACCTTCCTAGACTATCCAAAGGCCAGATTCCTGTTCCTCAGGCCCTCAAGCTCCGTCTGCTGCCTTCTGTCTGAGCAAGCTTCTGTTTTCTCACTCTACTGCTTTCTGCACAAACCCCAGGGCCTGGGCTGCAGCCTTTTCTGCTGTTCTGACACAGGCTTGCTGCCCTCAGTTCATGTGGAGCTAATCTTACAAGAGAGCCTCCCCTGACTATCCCAAAATAGCATCCTGCCCTAATGAACCCTGGTCCTGGTTGTTCTTTGCCATCACCACTTGACAGATCTACATTCTGGGCTTCTGTTCCATGCCCTTCAGAGGGCCCCCAGTGGAGCCCAGGCCTTGCCTCTGCTGTACTCCAAGTCCACTCAGAACCAGGCTGGTGGGGCATGGTGGTGAAGATGTGGAAGCACTGTGACGTGTCCACAGCCCCCACATGGGTTTCTTCCTGGCTGGATGTGGCCTAGGCTTCGTGGGTAACACAGGATGAGCAAGGAGCATAGAGAAATGGGAGAGGAGTCGGTGTGGATTCCGGACAGTCCTCACATGTTCTTGTTTCTGTTAAGTGTTGGGTCTATTCTGATGTAGTTTTACTTGTCCACTTATCCAGAATAAAAAAGGGTCATTCTAAGAATGAGGATATTTATTTTGGAAGGCGGACTTTGTTTTTGGTGTGTGTTACGGGAAGCAGTACACAGCATGAGAAAAGCGTTCATTGTGAGCTGAAGCGTGTTCCAGGCAGGTGGGGGGCAATAGCCTCTCCAGATATACACGGAGTGTTTTCCGCAATGGCCGCCTGTCATTTGGAGCACTCATGTCACATATGGGCGTCTTCCTCTCTGAAGGAAATAGAAACGCCCCCGACCATCTCTCTTCTCAAACATTGTATGTGCAGTGACATTTTCCTTTTCTTTTGACACTGCTGGCAGAAAGTGGGGTCCTGGACAAGGGCGGTGGGAGCTGAACACACTGCGTATATTAATAGTCCTGTGGAAGCCATGGCATCAGTTCAGGCCCCAGAGAGGTTAAATGCTTGCCCGCTTATGAATTTGCGCCTGTGTGGCTGCCGTGTTGAGACAGCCTCCAGGGAAGCGCTGTCACTGCAGATTCATGGCTTTCCGGAGCTGCCTCCAAGGACCCGTGTCCCGTTCCCATGGTAAATGTATCTGAAGAGTGCTTTCACCCACATTCGTGCAGAACCCCAGTGAAGGGACCTGCCTGCCTGAGTCAGTCTGATGAAAACACTGCTCTCCATCTGTGCCTATTTTCTGCATAGTTCTTTGGCTACACTAAGTCCTGTGTTTTCCAGTTCCCCTAAGTCTTGGTGAGCAGAGGTGCATGTAATTCCCTACAGAGCCAGGGCTGCATCCCTGTGGCCCTTCTGTCCTCCTCGGAGTTCCAGGCCAGGAGCCAAGGAAGGTCTCCTTCTGAGGTCATTCTCAAGGGACAGAACCCAGGGACTCAGCCATCAGGAATCCTATTTACAATAGTAGGGGAATAGCTATGAGAAATATTAATAGTCTTGGGCTTCCATCCCAAAATTACAAAGCAAAACAAAACAAATGTGATTTGCCTAGAACAGAACTTTCAACTCAGACTATTCTGGATCCCTTCATTTGGTTAGACACCATTAAGAATGAAAATTAAAGTCAACATTGGAATTTTAGTTCATTTTCTTGAGGAATAAGGAGAAAAACAGAAAAGACCTTTTAATATGTATTTTAATATGGAAAAATCCACAGGAAAGGTCACAGACTTTCCTGTGAAGACTGGCCATGGCTGATAGGAAGAATACCGCACACATATTTGTAGCACAGATCCTGGCTTTCCCCCTTGGATACTGAAAATGTTGTTGGTGTTGAGTCACATCAGATGGCCCATGGCTTTTGCAGCTGTTGCTAGCCTCCATTGTTCGCCTGGGGAGGGGAGAGGGTCTTCGAGCTGTGTGCCTTTGCCCTGTACCCTCTTCAAAATAAGAGTATTAGAGTTGTCATATTTTTGCAGGTGTCCTAAAATATTCCATATTTTCACCGACGGAGAGTCTGAAGTATGATAAACCACAGTGCTATGGCCAGTAAGGCCTCATGCGTGCTTGGCAAATGCTCTACACTGAGTTACAGCCTACATCTACTTAAAACACAACAACCACTTTTAATCTAACATATAAAGTACTTGGTTTATCCTGTCGTTTTCATACTTTGTTTAGATTTGTTCTTTTCTGAGCCCCCTTTCACTAATTTTGAGACAATCTCACTAAGTTGCCCAGGCTATCGTTAGCTTGCTCCATACCTCAAATTTATAATCCCCCTGTCTCTACTTCCCAAGTACCTGGATGACAGGTCTGTGCTTGGAGAGTTCTGCTTACCAGGCAACCCAAGGGTGGGCTGAGTCTTGTTTTAATTTTTCCAAAGAAACTGGCTGTGCCCCGTGGCACAAGGGTCACCGATAAAGTGACTGCACTGGAGAGGGCCATGCTGTTGTTGGTAGTGGCAAGGGGCAGCTGCTGGTAGCCTCGCTGGTGGTGGTGAGTGAGAGTAGTTCCCAAGGGGGTGGTCACAGGTCTTTCCTTCTGCGTCTGTGTGCTGGGGCATGGACTGCAGGGAGCACATTCCAGGAGTAAATCAGTGGGTCTAGAGCCATGCCAAGCTCTGTCTCACCAGATGGAAGGGGTGGTGAGTGGTGTTGCCAGGGAATGGAAGATGCCTAGGGCAGCTGCCACAGATGTCACCCTGACTCATTCACTCAGCTTCTAAACGTGCATGTTTAGGGGAAGAGTTGAACTCCTCAGTGCTATAGAGAAGACAACCTGAATCTTATCTCTAGAGCCCAAGAACAGATTTAGGACAGGTCAGGGGACAGTCGGCCTGGGTCTTCAACTCAGGTAAGTGTTCCATATGGCAGGGGTGTTTACGGCATTATGACATTGCCTTATGCACAGCCAGGTGAATGGCATTGTTATTGTAGTCTGAAAGAGTTCCTGCTCTTTCCCCATTTCCCTTGCCTGAAGATGAAATTATGGACCCTTTGTGTTTCAGGCTTTTGTTAATTCGGGCACAATGATTACCGTGGGACTAGCATGCAGGACAGTGTGAGGCGTGCGTCACCAGGCTGGACCTGCCTTCTGTGGACAATGCCTGGCTGTATTTGCAATAGCAAGATCTGGGAGGGCAGTGCTTAGCGACCTTCTTCACCTCAGGAGGGTACCGGGCTGTGCAGTAGTAACCTCTTCACTAAACATGCTTTGTGGCTAGCACAGTAAAGGTAATGGGAGCCCTGGGTTGGAGAGCCACAGGAGGCTGCCATTGGGAAGCACCTTAGGCCCTGGCTCACAGACAACCTGTCACAGGGCTGGAAGAGAACAGGGGCTATGGCAGGAGGTGGGCTTAGAGGCATATGATAAGACAGATCCTGCAGAGCCTTATGGGCAAGAGGATAGATTGTGAGACTTTCCTTTTGAGGGCTTTGGGTGCTGCTGGGGAATTTGGAAAACAAGGTAGAGGCAAGGAAGACACATTTAATGTTTTAACACATTTACTGCCAGCTCTAGCTGGACTCAGGATGGCACATACTCTCTGAGGCCCAGCTTGAAGGACAGAGGCATTTGGCAGGGGAAGGGGGCTGGGAGTGGGGACACCCAGGGGAACTCGAGTTGTATTCCCCTGTGCTAACCAGAAGGGAGGTGGGCTGCTGCTGTATTTTCATTGTTGTTGTTCTAAGGAGGTCTCAGTGTAGCTCAGGCTTGCCTCAAACTCAGTATATGGCCAAGGGTGACCCTACACTCTGGGTCCTTCCCAGCTCTAGGCTCTTCAGTGTCTACGACCATGCCTGGCTCAGAAATGTGATGACAGGACAGTGAAGGATTCTTGTTAGGCCAAGCTGGCCTTGAACTTAAGATTTTCCTTCTCCTCTTCAGTCTCCAGAGTTCTGGAATCTTAAGTTCAAGGCCAGCCTGAGTTATAGAGTGAAACTTGGGCGTTGGTGGTGCACGCCTTTAATCCCAGCACTTGGGAGGCAGAGGCAGGCAGATCTCTGTGAGTTCAAGGCCAGCCTGGTCTACAGAGTGAGATCCAGGACAGGCACCAAAGCTACACAGAGAAACCCTGTCTCGAAAAAAACAAAAAAACAAAATAAAAAAGGAAAAACTAGAGTAAAACTATTTCTCAATGCTTATTTGTTTGTCTGTTTTTGTTCTCTCAGTATATGCATGCAACTTTTTCAGATGGAAACTAGGCTGTTGGGACATTGATGCTTCTTAAGCTGGACCTAATTATTGGAAGTTTTAGCTCTTTGTTTTGATTTAGGGACAATATGAAATATTACTAAGTTAGTGTGAGTGCTCAGAACCAGATTTGTTTGGAGGGTCCCGTTACCAAAGAGACGAAGATGGCTTCCAGTGTTTTACATTGGTGTGGGTCAAGGCTAAAATACCAAGTCACCGTCCCTTCCAGATGAAGCAGAGATGGACCACTGGCCTGGTTCCTTCACAGCTTTTCCCTTCCTTCATAGCTGTGTGCTGTTTGTGAACTGTCTAAACACCAACACACCCTCTTTTGTTTTTTTTCTTTCAGAGAGTGGGTTAATCGAGCTCCATCCATTCATTTTCTGAGAGTGTTAATTTGTCTGAGGCTGCTAATGAGAGATCCATGTTATCAGGTTGGTTGGGAAAAGTAAAACTGTTCTTCACTTATAACAAAAATGAAATAATTAAATTAAAAACCCAGTGGGCTTTTCTTTGAGATGGACCATGCTAATGTTTCCTTCACAAGGCAGGGCCTTCCTGATGTGGCACACAGCTCACCTGCTGTTTGAAAAGACTAGGACAAAGTGATTTGCAGGCCGGTACAGCTGCATGCTTATACTTAACCTGTAAGGTTCAGTGACTGAGTCCTGGTCTATGTGTTCACTGCTACGAAACCTTTGAAGCCATTAGAGTTCCAGGAGGTACACAGTAGTCCACGCACTGAAGCGTGTTTACGGTCATGACGCTCACCAGGGCCAAGTCACCAGTGACAAGAGGGGAGCTTACCACGTGACTCCAGAGGCAACCCCTGGGAACAGCAGGGCTGCAGCCTGTTAGCTGCCAAGAACCCATCCCTTCCCAGCTCTCTGCTGGTATCCCAGCTCTCTGCTGGTAACCCTGAGCCCAGGAGAGCACAGGGGCTCCCTCCTATGGGTCTCAGGGGAGGGCCCTGCAGCGCGAATCTCCCCGTCAATCACTGTTAGTTGGATGGGTCGTCTCTAGTTTACAACTTCTTGCATTTTAATGTGCACAGGAATCAATGGGGATCTCATAGATATAGATTCTTAGTCAGTAGGTGGGAACTGAGGCTCCTCATTCTACATTTCTCTTTAAAGATTCATTATATTTAAGTGCATATGTATGTGTCTGTTCTGAGGGTATGCTATATGTCTTCCTGTGCCTACAGAGGCTGGAAGAGGGTGTTTGGGTCCCTGAAACTGAAGCTGCAGGTGGTTGTGAGCCACCTTGATAGGGATGCTGGGGACCAAGCTGGGGTCCCCTGCAAGAGCAGCAAGTGCTCTTAACCACCTTGCCTTCTCGCCAGCCTCATTCTGCACTTCTAAAACAGTTCTAGGAGATGCGGGGGGTGATGAGCCACAGGGCCATAGTTGGCCTTGAATAGGAAGGGCTTGGTCCTGTAGCAATGAGACTAAAGAACGGCCTACTCAAGGGATCTGGTTCAAAGCTTTCCAGCCTGGCTTGGAGGGAGGGAGGGAGCCCCAGGTGCTGCTGTTTGCCAAGTTGACTGTGTTTCTGAAGCACCCGGAGGTGTTCCTGATCAGTAGGTCTGTGGGCAGGCCGTGACAGTCAGCTTCTCAGTGACGGTGAGGCTGCTGGCTAGGCTGACACGGCGTGAGAGGCCTCATGAGATTCTGTTCAACCGTGTTAACATCTCAAGCATGCCTGTTATTTGTACAGACTGTTGGATTTTTTTCCTTCCAAAAGATCTTGTTTTATGCTGAGTCTTTCCAAACTACTGGGAAGCTCATAGCACCTAGGTTCTTATGGTAGATTCAGTTTTGTTGGTAAATTCTCACTTAAGACAGAATGCTCCCTTTCATTGCCCCAATCATCATCTCTCCCAAACTTAACACTAAAACAAAATGCCTCTCGCCTTGACTGGAGGTTTCTGGGGCTGCAGATCACTGTATCTTCTGTTCAGAGGCTGCATTCCTTTCCTCACATACATTCTAAACCAGATTTGTGCTGTTATTGTCACTTGAACGCTTTGCATGTGCTGTCAGGGTGTCTACCGAATGGCATTCTGTCCTGGTTGTCCACAGACCTGTGTGTGAGCCACTGTGGTGAACCATGCCTATCAGAGCTGCCTCTGCCAAGCTATGTGATTGGTGTATGTAAGGAAAAGCGCATGTCTGACTTTTCCTGCCAGGCCTGGGGTGTGATGACTGCTCCCCTTCATCAATGAGCCCCACACTTGCTCTCTGATAAGTCTCCATTTGGATAAAAACCCTACATGCAGAGTATTCAAGAGTATTCAAGGAGGAACAGCTCGTTCTCAGGCTTACAAGAGGTCAACAAAAGGTTTACCTCAGCATACCTTGTTTGCTGAGAAAATTGGTGACTGCTGATTTGCTTTTAAAGTATGGCCTTTTTTATGTTGCCTTTGATTGATTGGCAGAAGGTAGATCACACTCCCCCTTAAAGCAAGGAACGGAACGCAGTGACTACTCTGTTTATGGCACTTTGACACACACTATGTCCGCATCCCTGGTTGACAGTCTTTCCATAGAAGGGGATTCTCCCGGCCTGACCAGAAGAGCGTGGGCTCTGCCAGTTGTATAATGCTTTGAGTTGCCAAGAATTCTTGGCCACAGACACAAGGCCGTGGTGGGGATTACTGCACCATCCTCCGGCAAATGTCAGCAAGGCTTCGCCATCACTGCGCTTGGCTCCCCTCCTGTCCGTGTGCGGGTCTGGAGTGCAGCTCCAGACCCTCTCCACTCCATGCCCACTCCTCCTGCCCGAGTCCTTACAAAACTGCATCATGAGCTCTAAGAGGAGCCCCAAGCCACTCTGGTGGGAGCCGCCTTCTCCTCTCTTCTTTGTTATTAGAAATATTTGGATTTTTGTGCAGCTGTCCTTCCTTCTTGCAGAAGTAATGACCCTTCTGCTAGCCAGGTTTTCTCTCTCTTCTACCTATATATATCAATCATACCTGAATACCTGAAAGCATTCCTTTCTTGGTCCAGCTATTCAGGTCTTCTCACATTTACGACTGCAGTTTATCTTTTCAGTTTTTAAAAATTTCATTCCTATTTATTTACTCTGTGTGTGTGTGTGTGTGTGTGTGTGTGTGTGTGTGTGTGTGTGTGTTATGTAACAGGACACATGTGGTGGTCAGAGGACAGCTTATGGGAAGTGATTCTCTCCATCCACCATGTGAGTCGCTAGGATGGAGCTCCGGTCATCAGGCCTGGCAGCAGGTGCCTCATCTTGCAGCCCCACACCTCCATTTCTTAAAGCATCAGATTCTCCACCCAGTCCGCTTCCTTCTGTCATGTCTGTGTACTGCCTCACTTACACACGGAACTTAATGTACCAATTTTGCTTCGGAAGACAGTTAGCCAGCCAGCCATGCGCTGCTGGGCCTCCCTCCTTGACTGACATGGTTTATAGACTTGGCTGCTAATGTTCTGAGGCTTAGGTGAATGTTTAATGGAGCTTCTCAACCACAACAAAGCCAGGAAAGAACAGAGAAGCCATTTTTAAAGGTATAGTTATTTAGAATTATTTGTAATTAGAGGATTTAAGTTGGATTTTTAAGGCTAGGTGGGGTCCCCCACAGGATAAATGCTCAGCTAAACTGATTATAGGAATCTCCAACACATTGCTTGTCAGAGGCAGGAGCAGATCTTAAAAGCCTCCAAGCTGTACTTACATTAGAGATGATGATAAAAGGTGGTGATGGGAGGTGATGTTTCTTGACCACCGGGCAGGAGGGCACAACAGCACCACATTGTCTTGTGGCTTTGCTGCTCTGCAGACACCTTCCTCTTCCCTAGCACCTGAGTGCTGTTTACTCCATTCTATTTTTAAATCTTGGCTTCTCCAGAATGTTCTCTTCCTCGTCACCATCGTGGCCTGTAGTGCCTGAGCTCTTCACTTTGCTGCTCACCATTTGCTGCTGCTGCTTTTTGTCCACAAGTTCATATTTTTAGCCTTGGGCATTTCCCAAGTCTACTTTTTTTTTTTTCTGGTGGTAGGAAGAAGTACAGAGAATGAGAAATGGGAGGCAGGCTCCAGTCATGACCAAATGTTTTTTGTTTGTTTAGTTTTTTTTTAAATCTCAGCAAACACAATTTTATATTCATTAGCAATTTATCTTAAGTATAAAATGACAAATACTAAATATTCTGTGTTTATGTGAGAATGTGGAACTTGAAGAAACAATAATAAATCATACAACTTAGTAATGGAGTCACTTGTAAAATATGTACCTCATCTCCTCTAACATGCTCTATCTATTGCTTTTATTTTATTAGGAAATACTCCATAAATTGGGTGGGATTGAAGACCTAGCCCAGGTAAGATTGCTTCTCTGGAAGCTGCTCTTGCCTTTACATTCTGGGTTAATTTCTGGATAAGGATTAAATAATCACGCAATGGTGGGCTTGGTGCCTGGTTCTCTCTAAATATTCACCCTTAATATACTCAGGTTGGAGGTAAGTGTAGTAGCTGAGGGATTAGGATGCTTCCCTGGCTTGTCTTCAAAAGAAACAAAGGGGATTGCTTGTATTGGAGCTCAAGTCAGGAGCTGCTAATGCTCAAAGCAGCCAACAAAGGCATGTTGGTGTCTGCTGCCTGCCAGGCAGAAGCAGATGGGGTTGGTAACTGTGGCTCTGAGACATGACACTCCCAGGCAGAGAGTGATGGAAAATACTTTGTTCTTGCTAATTGGCCTCATTTACCCAGCTGGTACAAATAAAAAAATTGTTGTAAAAGGTTTCATTTTTAAATTTGCAGCATTTTAACTAAGTTAAAAAACTTTTAAAGTTGAATGTCTTTAGCTAATGATGACAAGAAAGACTATTGTCATCATGATATGCATTGCCTGTCCAGTCACTTCTCATGATGTGAAGAAGTATGGTGTCATTATGTTTTTCCCACATAAAACACCCACTCTTGATTAAGTATTCATAAGTTGATGATAATACAAGGAATAACCTTGATTTTAGGGTTTATTTTTTTGCATGAAAAAGAATTTTATAATAAACTACTTTATTAGCCTCGTGTCTTGTAGTATCTTAAATTATATTATGAGGAATGATAGACGGGTGTATATGTGCTGAGCAACTAACTACTCAGCAACTCAGGCTTATCAAGAGAGAAAACAGTTTCTGAATGGCCCAGTCTCACAAAAGCTATGGTATGTTGACTTTTGTTGACTTTTGTGATCGATCTCACTATGAAACCCAGGTTGCTGCAAACTTGCAGTCTTCTTGTCTCAGCCCCCTCTACTAGCTAAATAACAGGTTTATACTCACTCTGCTATTTTTATTTTATTTGCTTGTTTATCCTTATATGAGCAATAATCTCACCTTGTAGCCCAGGCTGGACTAGAACTCCTGAATCATCTGCTTCAACCTATGACAATTGAACACAGTCAGATTAGCAATGGATCCTGAGAAGGTGATCCTTGTTCAGTTTTTAAAAAGAAGTTTAACTGGAGATTCACCTTCATTGAACAAAGTGAACTTCCATATGTTGTAAAGGATCTTATCACTTACCTATCACTCTTGCTCTCTTATTATGTGTGTTTCTCTGAGTCTGTTTCTTAGTTATTGACAGGAAGGAGTTATCATATATCTTATTTCATTCCCATTACTAATTTTTGTATGTATGCTGGTTAAATATAATTTGAGATATTATAAAATATTGGTATATATAGTATGTTACAAACATTTCACTGCAAGGAAAATCAAAGAATCGAATTACCATGTATATCTTACATGAAGCACACCATGAATTTATTCAGTTACAAGTCATTTTGGGATTTTGAAGGCTTTCAGAATTCCTTCAACTTTTTGGGCATTCAGGAAAAACTTGGGAAGCACTAAACCCAGTATCCTGCCCTTGAGTACAACAGGCCCCGCGAGTACTGAGCAGCGGTTGGATTCCCTCTTGTGCCATCTGGGGCTCCTCTTAAGCCCTGCACTCTGTTTCCTGTGTACTTTTGGTGCCAGCTTTCTGACCGGCTTGTTGGGTTGGTCTTTCAAACAGTACATGGAGATCGTGGCCAACGAATACCTGGGCTACGCAGAGGAGCAACACTGTGTGGACAAGCTGGTCAACATGACGTGTAAGCATGGTTGCCAGGGACACAGCTAATTCTGTGGACTTGCTGGGAATGGAGTGTGATGTTCGCATCAGGAGAAAGGGCACCTGCTGTGCTTCCTGGTATTCCACTCACATGGTGTGTGCATTTGTGCCAGCGGATGGATTCCATAGCACAGGTCCTCAAACCTTCCCAGGGCAGCTCTTCCTTTGGCAAGAACATTTGTTTCAGGAAACAAATCTTCCATATAAGCCACATCTGGTGAAGAGTTCTACCTTTTAATTTCTGTGAAAATGTCAGATTTTAGGGTTTTTTCTTTTTTTGCTCCTAAAATTTGTGTAATAATTATGTCTAGCTCAGAGAATTTGGACTATCCAGAGCCTGAAAAAGAAAACTGAGAACCTCACCTGGAGAGCAGCGTGGAAGCTGTGGCCTGGGTGTGGGGCATCTTAGTCATTCATGTGGCTTCCGTGGGAAGCTTGGCCAGTTTCTCTTCCCACCTCTTGCCTTACTTCCCCTCTGCCCACCCCTCTCCACCTTAGAGCTCCTGCATCCCCACCTTCCTCTTTCCTCTCTCTCCCCCCTCCCTTCCAGTCCCTCTAGGTGTGGCAAGCCACAGGCTTCCTGCTGTTCAGGGTGCCAGCTCAAGCCCTTTGTCTTTGTGTGGACAGACTGCTTTCCTGTGCTTGCTGGCTGGGCATACACTGGCTCTCATGTGCAGGGGAGATGCCAGGCCCAGAAAGTTACTTTAAGGGCAGCTCTCTCAGTGCAGGAACCTTCCCGGGTTTCATGTCCTGGCTGACCTCCCTTCTCTTCACGAGCTGGGATATTTATGAGCAAGGCCTCTTAGGTACAAGGCCTTGAACTTGTAAAAAGGTTCAGGAGCCTGTTTAACTTTAAATACAAGGGGATTTGCTTTTGTGATATTTTCATATTTATAATACTAGTTGAGCTTGTGGGTAGTTCCTAGAGTTGAAAGGTACGCCCTGTCCTCCACTGTTCCTTTTGTGGGTCTGTGTTTCTGTTTTTCCTTTCTCTACTTTCCCATCACATTTGAGGACCTGGGGTTTCATGACTGCTGGATCTCCCTCTGAATGATTTCTTTCTTTAACAGATATTTTTCAAAAACTTGCTGCTGTGAAGGACCAAAGAGAATGGGTCACTGCGAGCGGAGCCCACAAGGTGAGTGGGCTCCCGAAGAGCTGGCTCTTGAGGGCCACACTCCTCTGTGTGGCATCAGTTCGCATGCCCAAGTTCACAGCCTGAGGGTCAAGCTACACATCATTATGTCATAACACTGTTCACCCAGCCTAAAATGATGACTTCTCATCTCCTTATTTTCTTTACGAACATAAGGAATAAATAGCTGGCACAGTGCATGATGGATTTTATTTTTTTTTCATTCCATATAATGCAAGCTGAGTGCATTAATGTTGTAAAGAGAATGGAGTTGTTTGCTGTTTATTTACAAATAAACAGATGAAAGTCATCCAATAAAAGACATATACGTTTACATATAAACAAAGCCCATCTGTCTTGTAGGGTTTTATTAGTTAGAATCATGAAATCACCATTGTCTGTAAGTCACAGATAATTGGATACAGCAATTTCACATGATGCAGACTCTCAAGGTGGCATAGTGTTACAAGCTTATGGGTCAAGGATTTACTTTGAGGGGAAGGAGATGTGACTCAGAGAAAGAGCATTCGCTCAATATGCCTGGGGTCCTGGGCTCTGCATTTCCCGCAACACCACACACACCTGCACATGTGCACTCATGGACACACACACACACACACACACACACACACACACACACACACACGCACAGGCACAGGCACACAGGCATGTACCTTAAAGTAAATTATTCTACTATTTAGCAGCAGCTATGTAGAGCAGATTTCAATAACTTGTTGAGTCTTCCTATCCAGGAAGCAGTTGTATGTATCAGAGCATGATTGCCTGAAATACGTTAACATACACTGCTTATGGTCTAGGGGTTGAATCTAGGTGGTGCACAGCAGTTTTCTCAACCGACAGCCATTTCGCTGCTGTTGCTTAAGATCTGACAGAAAAGTAACATTAAGTTGTTAAGTCGGCTTGGCAAAAATTTTGAAAATGCTGTTTCTGGGATTGAAGTTTGTGAAACACGTCAGGCGCTGGTGGGGAGGAGCAAGGACCTGGAGAAAGACGATAGCGTCATGGAAGGAGTGTAAAGGGTGCCGTGTGATGGAACAGAGCTCCATCCCAGCAGCCACTTCCCACACTGCAGCTCTGACTGGAGCTGTGGGGCAAGAATGTTCTGGGGGATGGGAGGGGTCTGCATTCTGAAAACCTGGGAGGAAGAGAATTTACACCAATGAGGATTCAGGGACTGCATTATTCTCTAAGGAAAGCCATGAGGTATTAAACAATTTGGCCCTAGTGATAAAAAAGATATGTTTTACAGTGATTCTCAACCTGTGGATCCCAACTCCCTTGAGGGGGTCGAACAACTCTTTCACAGGGGTCGAATATCAGATATCTTGCATATCAGATATTTACACCATAATTCATAATAGAATCAAAATTACAGTTATGAAATAGCAATGACATAATTTTGTGGTTGAGGGTCACTACAACAAGAGGAACTGTAATCAAGGGTCTCAGCATTAGGGAAATTGAGAACCACTGGTTTATAAAGATACTCAATACCACTTTAGTTGGTAACATTAGGAAGAAAATAAATAAGTAATTATGAAATCATATATACATTTCCCACTTGTGTACATATATTTTTTAATTGAGCAAAAGAAGAGAATCCAGAAAAAAATAGCAAAGAGTCAGTGTCTGTGATCTTTAGGGACAGTGCACCATTCAAGAAGCTCCTAAGACTTCTGTAATTGTGTTTTCTCTTTCATTTCAGACATTAGTGAATCTGCTTGGTGCCCGAGATACTAATGTCCTGTTGGGTACTCTTCTGGCCCTAGCTAGCTTAGCAGAGAGGTAAGTGTGGCTACTAGGGAAGCAGAGGTGGGAGAGATACAAATACACAGGCTGTTCTGTTGTCTGCTCAGTTAAAGCCTGGAGTGGAGGCACATGGGAAACAGGGTATGGGGAAGAGTCCCCTGGCTAGAAAGGAAGGCCCTACAGCGGGGCATCCCACTTGCTCTCAGGTGCCATCTGGTGTTTGAGGGAGCATGACCGATGGTTTCCCTTCCGTGGGCCTTTAGAACAACTGCATTCCTATGCCAGCTGAATCTCCCAGAACTCCTTTCTTCATTCTCACCTATATATCCCCTGTAATATATAGGACATTTTCAATGATAAAATTTGGCTTTGAAAACCTGTCCTTTTATAGTGTCATTATTTTAAATGATAGAGCTATAAATATGCTTTTATGTCAATGAGTAGATCATTATGTTTTTGTGAACAGTATACGATTCCTAGTTTCTCTGCGTTCTTACCTCACAACTCCTTACAAGGTGTCTAAGTTACTTTTCTATTGCTGTGATAGAAGAAAAAATTTATTTGGGGCTTACAGTTTCAGAGGGTGCATCCATGACCATTATGGTAGGGAGCATGGCTGCAGGTAGGCAGGCATGGTGCTGGAGCAGTAGCTGGGAGCTTATATCTTGAGACACAACCATGAGGCAGAAAGAGTTAACAGGATTGCCTGAGTCTTTTGAAACCTCAAAACCTGCACCCAGTGACAGGCAACATCTCCTAATCCTTCCTAAACAGTTCCACCAACTAGGGCCCAATTAGTCAAACCTATGCCTGTGGGAGCCATTCTCAAACCACCACATGAGCTGCCCTGACCACTAGGACAGAAAAATGTGGCTGTAGTCAAATATGTTTCTAGTAACTACTAATAATTTTGCATTTGTAGTCCAGAGTGTAGGGAGAAGATCAGTGAACTCAACATAGTAGAAAACCTCTTGATGATTCTGCATGAATATGACTTACTTTCTAAAAGGTAGGGTCTGATCCTCATGAAAATGCTTCCACAGTGGAACATGGAACTTGTAGTAACTTCAATCTATGATCTCCTGACATGGTTACTCAAATTTGGCTCCAGAATATTGCTCTCTTTCTCTCCTCTCCCTTAAAAGCTGTTTCATTTGTGACAAAAATACTTTTTAATTATGTCATCTATATTGTTAATTGAATATCATGAGTCAGCTTGGCAGTTCTTTTCCATTTAAGACAATATGAGGACACTAGGGGAAAGAGGTACATAGAATCCAGTCATAATTTTATGATTGCATCATTATTAATTTTGTTGTTGCATTTGTCTAAATAAAAAGTTTAGGGGAAGAAATTTTAAGTTCTCTCCTTCTCTCTCTCTCTCTCTCTCTCTCTCTCTCTCTCATAATCTTAGATTAATGTGTGGAATAAATGAAGTTGCTGAAAGCCATTGTGTTAAGCAAGTGAGCTAAGATGTTGACTGACTCACATTGTGGTCACATTGTAACTCACAGCAGATTCTAGAACAAAATGGATTCCTTTCTGCTTCAGCAGAGCATTGCTCTAAAGGAAGACTCTGTACAGTGGATTAGGTGTTCTTAGGTTTGTAAATGTGTATTGTTTGGCATTTAAACCACAATTTTATAAAAACCCAAGAGTATAGAAATCCTAACTGATGGCGATCTGATATTTGCAGTGACATTTTTGAAATTCCTCTCTCAAGAACTCACTCAAGAGACAAGGTGCCAGACCCTACCACAGTTGAGTAAGATCCGAGCATGCAGTGTGAGGTTGGGACAGGCAGGGAGAACTCCCTGGGTCCTTGAGGTTTTTAGGATGCATTTTGCGGATTTTCCCATGAACATGATGTGAATTCCCAAAAAGACTTTAAGCACATTTATATTCTGATAGCACACGTGGAAGCAGGGTAGGAGTGGAATACATCTACATGTTGAGATGCACTTAGAATAAAGAGAGAATGTTTCTTGTAGAAAGTTTGAGAAGATAAAGCATGCTGCTTACCAAAGAAGACACATTTGTTGTTGTTGTTGTTTGAGATGGGTTGATAAGCAGCTCTCCCTAGGCTGGTCTTGGTCTTTCTGCGATCCTTGTGTCTGCCTCTTTAAGTGCTGGGATTACAGGCTTGTCCACATAGAACATGTGTTCTTAACATCAGAGCTGGAAGGGGAGGGGGGCTTGGGACGGAGAGGAGCGTCGAGAAGTCCTCTGGGAGTGGAATTGCAGAGCAGTGTGGGAATGTGAACCCTGAGGAGTGTTTAGGAGAAAGAGGGCATAAGCGAATACTCTGCTCCAGCAAGGAGCAGACATGGAATTACCCTGCAGAAAATGAGCTTTATAAGGAGAGAGAGGGCTACATAACCATTGGCCATGGCCTGGCTTTGAGGAGGAAGAGTGTTAAAAGCGGTAGTACATCATACCAGACACAGGCAATATGATGCTGCTGTGAGGTAGGACAGCATGGTAGACATTATCAGCTTAAAATGAAAGTAGGAGAGATTGCCATCATGGATGCATGGTGTATGAATTGGGGTAAGAGGGGGAGAGAGAGAGGGAGAGGAGAGAGATAGAGAAGAGAGAGAGGAGAGAGAGAGAGAGAAGAGAGGAGAGGGTATAGGGAGCTTGTCTGTAGCTCAAGCCAGGTAGAGCATGAAGAATTCCTGTTAGGACAGTAGGTCATAGGGACAAAGTCAGCAGAGAGTTGGTCAAGACAGACCATAGGAGAGGTGAATCTGCTCTTAAAGTGGTGGGCCATGATCTAACAGAGAGGGGACTGGCAGAGGGTCCCACCCCTCACTCATGATCGAGGATCACAGCGTGAGAAGAATGGCTTAAGTGTGGATTCTGTGTCCCAGTGGATGCTCTGGTCATGTGATGTCACTGATGCAGGGTGGGGGTGATTCTCATGCTTGCTTCTGTCACACCAGACTTACAGCAGAGCTCCTGCGCCTGCTTTGTGCTGAGCCCCAGGTGAAGGAGCAGGTGAAACTCTACGAGGGAATCCCCATCCTGCTCAGTCTGCTCCACTCTGACCATCTGAAGTTGCTGTGGAGTGTCGTCTGGATTCTGGTCCAGGTGTGTGAAGACCCAGAGACCAGTGTGGAAATCCGTATCTGGGGTGGCATCAAGCAGCTCCTTCATATTTTACGAGGGTAAGTGGGGACCTGGATCTTATAAATTAGTAAAATATTCTAGTAGCTTTTTTTGTTTGTCTTACTGTGTTTTGAGACAGGGTCTCTCTATGTAGGCCTGACTGTCCTGGAACTCACTATTTAGACCAGGTTTGCCTTGAACTCACAGAGATCCACCTGTCTCTACCTTCCAAGAAATGGGATAAAAGGTATAACTGTTCCTGTCTTTGTCAGTGTTCTATTGCTGTGAAGAGACATCAAGACCATGGCAACTCTTATAAAGGAAAACATTTAACTGGGCTGGCTTACAGTTCAGAGGTTTAGTCCATTATCATCTTAGCAGGAAGCATGGTCACATGCAGGCAGACATGGTGCTGGAGAAGGAGCTGAGAGTTCTACAGCTGGATCAGCAGGCAGCAGGAAGAGAGAGAAAGACACTGAGCCTGGCTTGAGCATTTGAAACTCCAAAGCCCAGGCCATTGACACACTTCCTCCAACAAGACCACAGCTACTCCAACAAGGCCATATGTCCTAATCATTTCAAATAGTGCAACTCCCTATGATCCGATGGGGGTCATTTTCATTCAAACCACCACACCTCCATACCTGCTTTCTAGTAGCTTCTATCCCATCAGCATGGAAAGGGATGGTTTGTTAAAATAGCTTGAAATTGAAATCACTTGGGTATATATTGCATTGTAACTATATTTTATGAATTAAATATCTTGAAGTATTGAGTAGTAAGACATATTGAGGCCATCTTTGGGAATATTCTGTTACTGAATATTATTATAAGGCATAATTCAGCCCCAAGTGTGCTAAGTCAGAGTCACAGGTAGATATTTCTGCTCAAAAGAGACCAGCATGCTTGATCCCTGGTCCATCAATAGAGCTTATTTATGCTCTAAGCCAGAGTGGCTTATCCATTTTAACATCACCAGAGATTATCAAATTGATATGACTAAGACTTTGTACATACAATTCCTTTATGGATTTTCTCTGTGGGAATATTTCAGAGCATTAGAAGAGACTGTGGATGTATGAACAATAAACTTTCTTAATGATTTCTGTCACTGTGAAAACAAAGGGAAAGTATGTGGCCTGCTGACAGCCTCCTAGCTTCATAAAAGCCTCAGTTACTTGGATGTATAGATTATAAATATTTCACCAGTTCTGTGACATAATAGGCTATTCCCTTGGTCAGAACAATTGCACAGTTGTTTTGTTTGTGCTTGTAGGGTGAAGATAGTAGATGTAGTCTTCCTTGGATAGTTGCTATTTTCTCAATGATGACTGGAATTTTGTAATAGTGAAGTATTAGTTAAAACTAATTATAACAGGCATTTCCCCCTCATTAGCTCAAGTCATAAGTTTTATATAATTGATAGAAAGGAATTCTTTCGTGTCTAAAGACTCATGTTCCAACTCCATCCATGTATGGTGTTGGAAAACTTATCCCTGAGAAGGTGATACATGTCAACTCTTTTTGGATGTTTAAAGTAGCTAAGGTGATTTGGAAGGGCTTATTCCCAGCTGGGTACGTACAGTCTGCTTGGATCTATGCCTGCACCTGGCCGCCACCGAGGCAGGTGCTAGAGGAGGAGCCGCGTGGTGGCTGGCAGTGCTAGTGTTAACAGGCTGTTACAGGCTGGTTTTCAGGAAACCCATTGAGGTCTGTACACCTGCAGCCTCCAACAGCAAGCACATTCCTGTCAGGCACATTGATCACTACAGAGAATTCCAAGATAATTATGTCCATAGATAAGACCATCAAAGGAACTGCTCCTTGCCCCAGCTCATGACAGAAAGAACAGAATGACCTGGATAGCACTGAGGGAAGACAGGGAGATTCCATTTGTGTTATGTGTGGGAACATACAGACCCAAACAACTGATGTCATGAGAAATAAATAAATAAAGGAACCATATCAACCAAAGGGAACAAAATAGACAACAGACAGAGTCTGTGGTGGGAAGCTGTGCACCCCGCACGTAGCAGACCAACTGCCGAGCATGGATTCGTGAGCTGTGGCTGAGGATGAGAAATTGAGCTGTAGAAGGGAGGAAGTCATACAGTCAAGATGGGATATGAGGGTTGAGTGATGAGCACAGCCCTGAAGACTGACCTAAAGACCAGGACAGCCCCGGAAGCAGCAAAACAGAGGGCAAGCTTTCAAAAGGTGCTGTCAGCCAGAGGAAAGAGAAGAGAGAACAGAGAGAAGAAGCTGGTAAGGCCGGGTGAAGACAGGGCTTCAAGCCACGCTCATGGAGACTCCTGAGGTAGGGAGACAAAGAGCAAGCAGTTTGAAGATTCAGCAGGACTGGCTTTCACTAAGAGGAACTCAGGAATCCTGGCTGAGATGCACCCACACGCAGACTGCAGCACCCCAAGAGTTCAGCCATGGGGAGTGCAGCGCCTCTCATCTCACACTGAACACCACACTTGGCTCCAGCTGAGTTTGCAGGTGAAGCAATTAAGAACATGGAAAACCTCACAACCTGATTTCTGTTTATTTACTTGTTTGTTTGTTTATTATATAAAATACAGGCTCGTTATGAGATTTTTCATTGTGTTTAAGGTATAGAAGAAAATAAATAAGTGGTCTGAGCAGTAACTTTCCTTTTCCAGGGATAGGAATTTTGTTTCTGATCGCTCCTCCATCGGCAGCCTATCCAGCGCAAATGCTGCAGGACGGATCCAGCAGCTGCATCTATCAGAAGAGTTAAGCCCTGGGGAAATACAGGAAAATACTGCCTCTCTCCAAGCAGGTGTCTGCCTTACATGACTGGGTTTTGTTACTTAGTTCTGCATTCTTTATTGTGTTGTTATTCCGTGTTATAGCATTAGTATAGTGGTGTTGAGTGTACCCAACTGCAGGATTCCAAATGTGTAACAGTGAATCCGCATGGATGCCAGAGCCATCTCCGTAGTGGCATTGGACAGGCAGGTTAATGATAACGACAGATGAGACCACTGCTAAGGCTGGACTAAAGCCCACAGCTTGGTCTGGGCCCCAACCATGCTTCCTACAGTTTCCTTGATCTTAGAGTATTCTATTGAATACAAACATCCCACTCATGAGGGGTCAGGGAGTCTTCTTCCACAGACCAGCTCCAAGGAGAAGAGAGAGAAGGCAACTGCGTGAGCTTTTCAAGGGAAGTGAAAGCTGAGCTGAATAAGCCTTTTTTCCTGGTCGAGCTTCCTCCGGCTTGCACCTGTCAGGGTGCCTGACCTTCAGGCTTAGTAGAGTGGCCATGCAGTGTGGGTGCTTCAGGTCAGTCTGGACCCTGGACAGCCTGGCAAGGAGCAGAGGGTGCTGGAGGCCAGTGGACCATGGGGAGGCACTGAGACAAGGGACATGTGCGGTGGAGGGCAAGAGCTGAAAGGCAAAGGTCACAAGACAGGCTTGCTTGTTCACAGAGATTTGCAGCTGGAGAATTGAAGAGAAGTTTTGTCAGACACACAAGGGCAGAGAACTAGATCTTCCTTCCCTCTGAAGTTTGTGTGTACTCAGGAAGGCCTCTACCTCTACACAGGCTGTGCTGGGTGCCTTTTTAAAGGTTCCTGGTACACCATGCTAGCTCATCTCAGAGTTCCTGGTAGCCTGGCTGTTCTCAGACTGGTGCAATTAGTGGTGATCACAGTGGGATTATAGGGATAGTCAGTGCTTAGAGAGGGATGGAAGAGGCTTGGGGGCTACAATTCCCCAGGTGTTCTGCTTGATGGGGTGCCTAGGGTACGTATAGATAGTCTTCTGGAGCTGTACACATGCTATGGGCTTACTTGACATCACCCCATTCACATTTCAGTAAGAACGATAAGCAGTTAGTGGAGTCCGAGTATTCCCTCCACCTAGGGGGTGGCCATGTGTCCTTGGCCATGTTCCTCAGGATCCCCAGGCTTTAGCTTTGCTCATGTGAAATAATGTGAGAAATACATGGGATGTGTAGACGTCTTCAACGTAACGTGTAGCTCAGTAGGAGGAACGGTGTCCCAGGGTCCCCGATGACTGGCAGTCTGTCACCCGCTCCGAAACTGTAGGGCGTAGTCTGATCATCAGGATTTGGGGACTGTACTGAGGGCAGTGATTCACTTACCCACAGTTTATTGCATTTCTGGCAAACGCTGGGCACATGCTGGGCACTGGAGATCATGACAGGTCTGATTCCTTCCCTCCTAGCTTGCTGTGCTGCCCTCACTGAACTGGCTCTCAATGACACCAATGCCCACCAAGTGGTCCAGGTAAGAACATCAGGACCAAGTGCCCTTGGGTCGCAGTTTGTATTCCAGCACATTGGTTTGAGGACCCATCATGTAATTTAAAAACAATTTTAACATTTCTTCTTTATCTTATAGAATTTCAGTTTATATTTTTGTCCTTAGTTAACTTTGTTGTATTATGCTCTAGTCTGCTTTCATGTTATAATAAAACACTGATGAAAAGCAGCTTCTGAGAGGCCAGGGCCTATTTAACATACACTTCCAGGTCACACTCTGTCCCTGGGGAAATCAGGGCAGGAACTCAAGGTGGGAACCTTGAGGCAAGAAAGGAAACAGGCCATGAGAGAGTGCTGCTTACCGACTTGCTCCCTCTGGTGTGTGCTCAACCTGTTTTCTTATATAGCCCAGAACCACTTACTCTGGGTGACAATGCCCACAGTGACCTGGACCCACCTAAATCGACTAACAATCAAAAGCATGAACCCCGCACACCCACAAGCTAGGCTGAGTGAGGTAATCCCCCACTGAGACTCCCTCAGGTAACTGGGCTGTGTCAAGTTGACAGCTGAAGCTGACTAGAACTCAGAAAGAGCTGATGTCAGTAACTCTTCCTGGCCTCACTTGTGGTCCGTTCATTTGGGCTCTTTTGGGGTAACTCCATCGTATTGAGTTTTACAGAGGAAAGGACTAACAGCTGCGGAATCACCTTCAGAATGCACGGTGGCAGTGGCGTGAGATAAAGCCCATACATAGGCAGCATGGCGGGGGTGGGGTGGGCTAGGGTGGGAAGAACAGCCAGGTTGGGCACAGTTTCTGCTGTCATGGCTGGTGGGGTTCGCTCCCAGAGGGGGGACATGGTTCCACCTCTCGTGAGTGTACTAATGAATAAAACAGAATTATAAAATAATCTCCAGGATGGCTATGGCTAACGTGGTAAGATTCGTGGAGGTGGATGAGATGCCATATACTCACAGCCGGCAGAAAGCTGACACAGGCTTTTTTCACCTCCGTGTATGTGTCAGAGCAGTCTAAAACAGTGCTGTTCCACAATTAACTGGATCTCTTTAATCCAGTTTGTCCGTTTTTGTCATTTTCCTTTTCTTAAAAATACTTATTTTAAAATGATTAATCTCTGTGTATTATTTAATTATCAAAAACAAAAAGGGAGGAAGTATGTTTTATAGTTTGAATTTGGTAGTTTTGGAATATATATGTACCTGTGTTTTCATGTGTCTGATCATTCATGTGTGTGGGTACGCATGCATGCTTGTGTGTAGGTCAGAGGTAGCATTCATCAGATGTCCACTATTTTTTAAATTAAGATAAAAAATGATGCATGTATGTGTATGTCTGCTTGTGGTTTGTGCCCATGAGAGTGCAGGTGTCTTCAGAGTCCAGAGAGGGCATTGGTTCCCCTGGAGTTGGAGTTACAGGTTGTGAATCACCAACATTAATGCCAGAGACCAAGCTCTGGTCCTCTGCAGGAGCAGTGTGTGCTTTTAATTACCAAACTGGCTTCCCAACCCCAGCCTTGTTTCTGAGGCAGGGTATTTCATTGGCACAGGGCTCACTGATGCGGCTAGACTGGCTGGCCAGTGGTCTGCAGGGAGCCTCCTATCTCTGCCTTTTCAGTACTGGCATTACAAGTGAGCCACCTCAGCCAGCTAACTACTATTTTTTTTTTTATCTTCGGTTCTGGGGACTGAACTCGGGTCTTCACGCTTGTGTAGCCAGTGCATCACTGAGTGCACTATCACTCCAGCCCAGAGTTTCACTACAAAGGTGTTTGAATTCCTTTATCCTGTCCCTTCATATTCTCCCTCTCTTTGTTTTTGTAATATTTAAATCATTTCAAATTTATGTAGTTTAGTACATAATAGTATCATATAATTCTACCTTGAAAAACTTAAGCTTGTCCGTAGTCTTTGGCATTTGAAAGTACTACATGAACAGTTTTAGTCCTTACTGTCTGTTTCGGCTGTTGTAAGGCTCTTTTACTGCTTCCGAATGCTTGTCTCTCTCTGTAGTATTGCTACAGGTCACTGATACATGGCCTCTTTATTTTTCCAGGAAAATGGTGTATATACGATAGCAAAATTAATTTTACCAAGTAAACAAAAGAATGCAGCAAAAACCAATCTCCTACAGGTAACAAGCCTGTCTTTTGCTTTTTATCTCAAGGTATTGAAATCTGGGGAGCCTTTGATAAGAGAATGTGTACTTTTGGGGATTGTTTAGCTGAGTATTGGGCTCTAGCTGGAAGGGAATGTGCTCAGTGATGGAGTCAGTCAGGGTGGAAGCCAGTGACTCCAAACAGCACAGAAAGCCCATCAGTAGCTCTTTGTGTGGAGGGCTTATGTGGCTTATTCGATGACTTCTTTGTTCATCTGTTGGTTGTACTTTTAAAAGAGATTTCATCATACACCAGAATATAACAACAATGGAAAAGTGGATGTCATCTTTAAACATGAACCACAGTCACCAACATTTTGTCTTTGAAGAGGAAATCCCAGGAAATGGACTTTGATGGATGAGAAGGGATTTAAAAGGGGGCAGGGAGCCCTTGGGCACAGCTGCTCCATGGGAGTGTTATTAGCAGGGTAGAAGTGGAGGATTTAGAGAGTACTTGGGGACAGGCGGGCTGCTGAGTGGCTTGGGTTGTGTGTCTTAAAAACAGAATGTCAAAGGCAAAGAGCAGGCACACTTATATAGGAATGTTGTGCTTTTCGGGGGGGGGGGTGAGCATTAGGGACTGTGTTCCCAGTGACACCAGAATGACAAAGGTCAGTTTTGTGGAGTTGCAGTTTATTATTCTTTCTAACGCACATGTGCATGAAGATATCATATGCTTCCCCATAATTATGCACACTTTCCATGTTTTTATGTGTGTGTTCAAAAGGAAGGTCATTCTAAAAAGGGCTTTAATTTTGTCATCTAGCATAATGGCCAAATTTTCAGAGCCTCTTGTTACTACTATGTGCAGCCAGGCAGGGGTTTTGGAAAGCTACTATGAGAACATAGGAAAGCTGGGCTTCTCTAGTGTATTCAGATACATGACACTGCCCTTGGACAGCACAGTCAGTCAGAGTTGTCATGAGCATGAGCTTTGGTAAGCCAAGACAGGTTTTAGAACTCCATCTAGAAAGGGTTCCAAGGAGTACAGTTCTCCACCATTTCCCCAGGCTCCTTTATGTCCCTTTGTTTTCTGTCAGACTCTGGGCAGCTTTGTTTGGGCATTCTATGTTCAGATCATCAATTTTATGAAATGATCCCAGGTTTCCAGAAGACCATAATCACCCCACTGGTGGTCTGGGTCACAAGTGTACCTGTTTACTGCCCCTGCCCAATCCCACCATCCTCGTTAGGGTTTCCATTACTGTGGTAAAACACCATGACCAAAAGAAGACTGGGAAGGAAAGGCATCAGCGCAGGAACTCAGATGGGCCAGGAACCTGGAGGCAGGAGCTGATGCAGAGGCCATGGCGGGGTGCTGCTTACTGGCTTGCTCCCCACGATTTGCTCAGCCTGCTTTCTTATAGGACCCAAGACCACCAGCCCAGGGATGGTACCACACCTCTGCCATCAATCACTAAAGAAGGAAATGCCCTACAGTTGGTTATTATGGAGGCATTTTCTCAATTGAGGGTCCCTCCTTTCAGATGATTTTAGCTTTTGTCAAGTTGACACAAAACTAGCCAGGGCACCCCCCTCCATTTCTTTTCTCCCTGTGTTCTCGCCTCCACTCCTCTTCCTTCCCACCTCATCCCCTCTTTTTCCTTCTGCTCTCTTGTTCTCCCTTGCAGAATAATAGAAGTTTATTTTCTTTACATATGAAAATATTTAACTACATTTGTTTACTTGTGTGTGATTATGTGTACAGGCAGTCATGCCATGGAGAATATTGGATGTCTAAGAACAGTTTGTCACCATGTGGGTCCTGGGGATCAAACTCAGGTCTTCAGGATTGACAGCAAATGCCTTTACCCACTGAGGCATCTTGCTGGCCCCAGAAAATTGCTTTTCTCAGTTAAAGCACTCAGGCCTCTTTGCAAGCCTTCTGAAGATCAACTGTCCATTGTTCTATTTGGAGAATGGTTAGGGCTTTTATTCAGGAGACCAACCTGTCACATTTGAATCCAGTGTGCCTGTTACTGTTTTTATGTGCAGTAGTTTCTAGTGGTTAGAAACCATATGAATAGAGAGAGTGAACCCTGAGTTCCTGGAAGTCGTTTTTGTATGGCTTCCTTGGCAGAGGACTATTATTTCTTATCTCTCTGCTCATTTTGTACTTTCTAGAAAGGAATCAATGGCCAGTGTGGAGTAAACAGGGCCGCATCTCCAGCATGTTGCAGCACCAGCCCTGTAGACAGGAGAGGGACCCCAGAGTTGGTGCTACTTTTCCTGTTTATGGGCTTGGCCTGCAGCGTAGGTCAGCCACGCACAGGGAAGCCTCTGTAACGTCTGCTCCCGTAACTCTGCACTGAAATGTTTGTATTTGCTGGGCTGCCCTCTAAGTGTCCTCTCTTTGTCCTAGTGTTATGCATTCAGAGCCCTGAGGTTTCTCTTCAGTATGGAAAGGAACAGGCCACTCTTTAAAAGGTATGATCTGGAAGTGATGTGGGTGTAAAAGGTGTGAGCTGGAAGTGACGTGGGTGATTATTAAACCGAAACTCTGGTTGGGCCAGCCTGGTTTCGCACTCTTAACGAGGGGCTGTGGGAAGAGGATGGCTGCATGCAAGCCATGTCTCTCTAGACTTCTTAGACTCCACCGATTTAACAGCTTTTGCAGCCACCTCACAGGCCACGTGACAGCTGACTGCATCAGCACAGCCCCTCACAAACCATGTAACTGCTGAGGCTCTGCTTGTAACTAAGGGTATCAACACTGTGAATGGATTGAATCAAAATACATAGTTGTTGTTGACCATTCAGAAGTTCCAAAGTTAGTCTCGTCATTTCCCCTTACCAACCAAGAGTTTGTTTAGGTGCCCTTGAGAGGCTGGGACCCAGGACTGGGACAGAGGTGGGTTGAGTATGGAAAAACAGGCCTTAGGAAGCAGACACATTAAACATATAGGGCATGCACACCATTTGGACAAAATCCAGGTCCACAACCTTGTGTACCAGAATTGTATTGATGAAGGAAGTCTGGATGTCAGAACAAATCTTCTGTTGAGCAGGTGTGGTTCACTCTATATTGTTGCTTTATTTTCCTGTGACATTTGAATTTAGCGGAAAAGAAAGGAAAATTATTTATTATAAACTTTCATTTCATGGCCCAAGGTCATCCATTTTAATGACTCAAACATTTTAAGAGGCCATTGAAGCCAGTAATTTGGAAATGCATAATTCTCTCCATTTTTTCAATTACTAGTATTTTATTTTTTATAAAACATATAATTTAAAAATTAAAAGTATATTTACATCCTGGGGTTAAGTTTAGAACTGTAATAAATGACTTCATGTAAGTGCTAAATACTTTGTAAATACCCAACAAATATCCTCTTTGAATACACTTAGTGTGTGTACCACCAAATAGATTACAAACAAGACCAAGGCCATGGCATAATCTGTTTCAGCTGCATTGTCTTTTATTGTCATAGAAACAAATAATGTGAGATCCACCCCTCCCCGTTTCTAAGTGTCAAGTACAGAGCTGGTAACTACAGCACAGTGTTATTCAGTGGGTCTTTAGAACATTGCTCTTTGTCTTTGCTTGCTCTGCAGGAAATATAGCTACAGTGTAACTTTGCATGATAAGACAGAGCACATTATTTCCATACTCTGCTGATAACCTAGTGAAGTTAGATTGGTTGTTAGGGTTAGCTGGTGAGTGAGCTGCATCCAGAAGGGAAGCAGTGGCTCACTGTTCCCAAGCTCCACATTAAGTGTGTGTGTGTTTCCCTGTAGGCTTTTCCCCACCGACCTGTTTGAGATCTTCATTGACATAGGACATTATGTTCGTGATATCAGTGCCTATGAGGACTTGGTATCACAGTTGAATTTGCTATTGGTAAGTCTTGAGTTGTAAAACTCTGGGCAGGCTGCTCTGTGGTCAGGATAAAATAACAGCAACCCACTTCCCTTGTATGACGTGGTTAGGAAGATGAACTGAAGCAAATTGCTGAGAACATTGAGAGCATCAATCAGAAGAAAGCACCACTGAAGTACATAGGCGACTATGCTGTGCTGGACCATCTCGGAAGTGGCGCGTTCGGCTGTGTTTATAAGGTGATTCTGCCCTGGGAAAGAGTTCTCATATTTCAAAACAAACTTGAAGTCCCACTTGGATGTCCATACTAATTTTAACTGGAGTCCTTGTCACTGAAAACTAGAGAATAAATAGAAATAAAAAGGAGAATGATTGTTTTTGTCCAACAGGGAGTGGTAATGGTGTGGGTGTTGCCTTGGCTCTCAGCTCTAGTAACTGCTCACTGACTGAGACAGGGCATCTTCACCTATCACAGGAAAATAGTCAGTACAGGTTGTCCCGTGCATGACATGGTTTATACATTTACACCAGTGTTTCTGCTCCTGCACAGTGAAATCCTACTGAGTACTGCAGGAGGGACCAAACCAGAAGATAACAGATCTGAGCTTAGCTTAGTGTAAATGCTGCTAGAATAGTTGTTCTCAATCTTCCTAATACTGTAACCCTTTAATACAGTTCCTCACATTGTGGTGACCCTGCCTTAGTTAGGGTTTTTGCTGTGGAGAGTCACCATGACCATGGCAACTCTTATAAAGGAAATATTTAATGGGGGGGGGCTTACATTTTCAGAGGTTTATTCCATTATCATCATGGTGGGACCTGGTGGTGTGCAGACAGACATGATGCTGGAGAAGGAGCTGAGAGTCTTACATCTTGACTCACAGGCAAAAGGAAGTGGTCTGAAATAGGTGTAGTTTGAGCATAGGAGACCTCAAAGCCCACCCTCACAGTAACACTTCCTCCAATTAGGCCATATCTACTTCAACAAAGCCATGCCTACTCCAATAAAATCATACTTCCTGATAATGCCACTCCCTTTGGGGGCCATTTTCTTTCAAACCACCATAATTTTATCTCATTGCTACTTAATAGCTGCAATTTTGCTACTGTCACTTTACTGAATTGTAATGTAAATATCTGATATGCAGGATATCTGAAAGCAACCCCTGTGAAAGTTGTTCGGCTGAGAACCACTGAGCTAGAATCTCATGTTATGGCTTGGTTAACTGTGTGATTTTGTTATTCTAGTTCATTTGTCTTTGTCTTAACCCTCATTTCTCATCAGAGTATTTAATTAAATTTTTTTGTTGTTTCCTTATTTTAGGTTAGAAAACGTAGTGGTCAAAATCTTTTAGCAATGAAGGAGGTCAATTTACATAACCCAGCATTTGGAAAGGATAAGAAAGACCGAGACAGCAGTGTGAGGAACATCGTTTCTGAATTAACAATAATTAAGGAGCAGGTAAATATTTGTCCTATTTCTGAGATGTCCCGACATAAATGTCATCGAGGTTGAGCTCTTGTGCTGTTCTTATCCATGCTGTTTATACTCTGGTGTGTTCAGTGTGAAATGCTGGACATTGGTGCAGGGATATTTTTACCAGTGTTTTTCCTAAAGCTTGTTATTGAGCCATGGAAACTCTTTTAGGAGTTTATAGCAGGGCCTTGGATGCAGAGCAATTGAGCTTACAAGCCAGAACACACCATGGATGAGAAGCCCTCCTGTCTTCATCATGATCATGTTCAGTGCTTAGTTACCTAGTTACTGCACAGGAATGGGAGGCGTTTCCAGCCCCAGTGCTTGGTTACCAAGCTACTACACAGGCAATGAGAAAGACCCCCAACGTCAGTCAAGTAAAGCCAAACTGCTGACACCCCCAAGTGTTAACAAGTCTGACTTGTTAAATCTAGAATGTGAGTTTTGTTTCCTTTTTCTTTTCTTGACCAGCCTTGTGTAATCTAGGCTGCTCTGCAGCTTGCTGGGCAGCCAAGGGTAACCTTGACCCCTCCTTCTGGCTTCCCGTCCTGAGTGCTGGGATTAAAGGTGTACACCACTATCCTCAGGGTTACTTTCATTAGCACAAGCACTAGATGCTGGTGTGATAGAATAGCTCAGTTAGCTGTGATCATGAAGAATTATTTGAGGAAAAAAGAACACCTATCAAAAGAGAAGTGGCATTTCTTTTTGTGATCCAAGAACATGCTGGCTTCTTTTCCAGCCTTCCTTATTTGTACATCTTCTTTTTTTAAGTCCTGGAAAACTCTCAGTCTCACTGCTCTGTTCTCTTCAGTCATATTTGCTTGGTGTCAGGGCTGGAACATGAAGAACCGCACAGTCATAGTCCTTATTCAGTGAAGTTGGACATCACTAAGTTACATCCGATCACTAAGAGCATTGCTGACTTTCATGCTTTAACGGATTAGATTTTCAGAAGCTATCCCATCCTTCCACAGAGTCTCCTGTTCTGTACAGCACAAGCTTAGAATGTGACTTTGATCTGAGTCCATGTTTTGATTAGGTCCCAAAGCTGGATCTACCCTTGCTCATGAGCTAGGGCCAGAATATTGTTCTGTTTGTTGACCTGGTCCCATATGGTTTAAAAGCTGGAGTCACTTGCGAGCTGATGAGGGTGCAAATTTGTTTAAGTGCATTTCCTAAAAAAAGGGTCCAGAAGAGGCCAATAAGCATGCCTGTTTAGACTGTGAGGTCACTCAAGATTGTATACTTGGTCCCTCACTGTGGAAACAAGCCACTTGAGCCTAAGGAGGAAGTCATGAAAGAAGGAGGCTGGAATGGAAGATCCTGTTTGTTAAGAGATGACAGTGAACCTGCAGTAACACAGAGGCTGCAGACTGCCAGGCTTAGAGAGGTGGTCTCACTTTTCTTACATATAACAATCCCAAGAAAGTGGGCAAGTTGGTGTTATTCCCTGTTTCATGCTTCTCCTGGTGACACATTTACAGCCCAAGTAGGAAGGAGAGCAGGAGAGACAGTCCCAGGGTTAAAGGCTCACACGTGGAGTCTGCAGGCTCCTTTTGCACTCATAGCTAAGCGCTGAGGGACAGGCCCACTCCTGGGTGTAGGCGAGGCTGAGAGATGTCACCTCTGCCTGGGAAGCCACATCCAGCTGCTCTGCTGCTACTGATGTGAGCTGCTGGGTTTCATGGATAGCAGCTAGCTGGGCCCTGCTCAAAGGGATATCCAGAGAGAGTGCAACGCATTTATACACATAATGGCAATTCTTATGAAATTAGACACTTTTCCTAGAAACCAATAGTTGCAGAAATAAATACTTGCAGGCATTTTTACATTATTTCTCTCTTTTTAGACAGGTTCTCCCTTCATGTGTAACCGAGGCCTGGCATTGGGGCAGAACATGTTAAGTGGACCTGTTTAGTTCTAAAATTCTCTACTCTAAGTTAGGAAGTCCAGCGGGTGCCAGCCTCATTTACAAAGGCATAGAGGACACTGAAATTTTCATTAACTTAAAAACAACAAAATTTAAGTCATCAAAATCTTAAATGGCAGCTGACAAGCTGACAGTCTGAGACGTACCTACAGATTACAAAATCTAAGTTGTCATGGAAAAAGCGTGTGTCTTGAAACAATCTGATAAATGTATGTTATTTATTTTCTTACAGCTTTATCATCCCAACATTGTACGTTACTATAAAACATTTTTGGAAAGTAAGTATGAATTGTGTTTCTAATTAAGGAAACATATCTCTGTTATTTATATTATATTGTCATACGAAAAACTCATTCAGCTATTTTCTTTACACTTTCATTATTAACAAACATCACTTGCTCAGGCAGTGAAATAATTTCATAAGTGATGGTCTGAAAATAGTTAAAAGTATTTTGATCCCCACCGTAGAGAGGCACGGTGTAAACAAGATGAAATAACTAAATTATCGTACAAAAAATTGAACTGGATATGATCAAGAAGAAAAGGAACCAACCGATGATGGTTCTTTTGTCTAGCAGCTTGTGTAGCAGCTGGCGGCATTCTCCACCCAAATAAAATAGAGTGGACTTCGCCTTCCAGATTTTTTTCAGTAGGTGCCACCAGGTGGCGTCGGAGTCCTGCCAGAGCCCACTAGCTGGGTGGCTTGTTTCCTGCGTTCTCCTGGGATGGAGAACGCAGTCAAAACCTTTAGACAAAGCCAAGCTCAGTCACTTGTTTACAAGTGAAGTAAGTATTGAAAATTAACGATCTGTAACATAAAAGTATCCCGAAGTATTTCCTCGTGAAGGAAGATTGACGGCCACGCGGGCCGTAGCTGTAGGGGCTCAGTCCCTGCTGCTTCACCAGTGCTGATATTAACCTTTGCAAGCCAGTGGTGGTGCACACCTTTAATCCCAGAACTCCTGAGGAAGAGGCAGGCAGATCTGTGTGAGCTTGATGTCAGCCTGGTCTACATCGTTCCAGTTTAGCCAGGGCTACACAGAGACCCTGTCCCAAAAGAAAACAAAAAACGTTCTGCGTGCTGGGGCATTTGTTACGGTTTTACCCATTTCTCTAGATGATTTAGAGTCACTCCTGCCTCTTTAGCATTGGGATAATTTCTGGTAATTAAAGAGATCAGAATTAGCTTCTGACTTATACTGAGGAGATAAATACAAGTCATTACAAAAGCAAAACAAAACACTTTAAAAACCAGACAGCTTCTAAAATGAATTGGAGGTAACTTAAAATATGTAAACTATGATGTATCAGGTTATAAATTACAGTGATGACTATAATGTGAAGAGATGAAAATAAAGCTGTAGCTGAGCACAGTGCAGACAATACGTATTTCATGACACTGTGAAAACTTGGAACTATAAACGTCTGCAAGAAAGACATTAAATAACAGGATTTATCCACATTGTGCATCCCTATGAGAGCCAACAGGTAGAGTAGTATGTGTGCATTCATTTTTCGATGTAAGAGGTGTCAGCCCTTTGCTGATAAGTTGTGTGTGTGTGTGTGTGTGTATTTTTGTACATCCAACAGTCAGAAAAGACACATGTCACAAGCCATTGTTAGTAGTTCAAATTGGCTTTAGATGAAGGTATGCAAAACAACAACAACAAACCAAATAGCATTAGCTAACAAAACCTTTGTAAACCATAAAACAGAATCAGAGTCTGGGTCTCCCTGCTCAAGAGAGGCCTAACAATGGTTTCTGTCATGGGTGATGTGTCGCTGGAATGTCACAGTGTGATCCTGGGGTAAGCTGTGACACAGTCTATACGACTGTTAGAAATGCAGTTTGCAGTGCAGTTTTCTGAATGTCTTATTTGATCCGAGGTACTAAGAGGCAGGACCTGTGACTTAGGACGGTTGGCTTGTTGTCTTTGGCACCTTCCAGCCATTCCTCATGATTACACTTGCCAATGTAAACTTCAGTGGGGAAAGGCTGGAGCCAGAAGAAGCTGCTGCTGGGCTGTGATGGCCCAAAGTCCTGCTCTGTGCTCTGCCAGAGTTCAGTGGATCCTACCCCTTATTCCCTGCATGCTCTTTGGAAACCATGGCTTCTCATTTGTCAAGCCTTTCCAGGGTTCTGTGTTGACTTTAAGTTTCTGTGGCCCTTTTGTGTCTTTGGGTAGATGACAGATTGTACATCGTTATGGAGCTCATAGAAGGAGCCCCACTTGGAGAGCACTTTAACTCTTTGAAGGAAAAACAGCAGCATTTCACTGAGGAAAGACTGTGGAGAATATTTATTCAGGTACACCCTTCATTGAAATGTTCATTAAACAGCCAAGGTCTGAGCTGCCATAGAGATGTACCGTTGGTTATATATACAGTGGGGAATCAATTTGCTTTCATTCTTATTTCAAGTTATGCTTAGCTCTTCGGTACCTACACAAGGAGAAGAGGATTGTCCACAGAGATCTGACGCCAAACAACATTATGCTGGGAGATAAGGACAAAGTGACAGTTAGTAAGTATAAACATGTTAAACTTTTTAACTGAAGAATTTCTGAATATTAGTTCAGAGTAGAACCCTATTTCAGAGTAGTGTTGTAAGTCAGTAGAACTTTTGGCATGGATAGAAACATTCTCTTCGAATTGTCCAGTAGAATAGGCACTGGACACTTGACACTTTTGTGCAAGTGGAATGTGGCCTGTGTGACAGAGGAAATTGGCCTTTTAGATCTTATTAAATTTTGAGCTGAATGTAATCTAGTCCTAGTAAGGTAGAGACAGATGGAGCTAGAGTTCAAGGCCAGCTTAAGTTACATAATAAGTTTGAAGCTAGCATATGCCACATGACATCCTTTATCAAAAAGCATAGCTAGATTTTCCTGCCTTGTCCACAGTCAGGACAAATCTTTGTCACCCGCCAGTCCCACAGCCGCTCAGACCCAACTGAGTAAACACAGAGACTTATATTGCTTACAAACTGTATGGCCGTGGCAGGCTTCTTGCTAACTGTTCTTATATCTTAAATTAATCCATTTCTATAAATCTATACCTTGCCATGTGGCTCATGGCTACTGGCGTCTTCACATGCGGCTTGTCATGGTGGCGGCTGGCAGTGACTCCTTCTGCCTTCCTGTTCTTTCTTTTCTCCTCTCTGTTAGTCCTGCCTACACTTCCTGCCTAGCCACTGGCCAATCAGTATTTTATTTATTGACCAGTCAGAGCAACACATTTGCCATACAGAACATCCCACAGCAAAAAAGCAAAAACAAAACAAAGACAAAATGCTTTTGTTAAATTTTAATTACTTTCCACATCCGTGAGAGAATAGTGTTCACACAATATTGGATAGCGGCAATGCTCTTCTAATGACTGGTTTGCTCATGTGAGAGAATACAGTGCTCTTAGGATGCTCCCTGTTTAATTCCTCGGTTAACGCTTCCTGGGTTTTTTCTTTTTAGCTCATGAAGAGTAGCTTTGATAATTAACACATTAAGCACATTGCTTTGGATCATTTTGTCACAGTCTGTCTTATAGGTAACAGGCTTATAGAGCTACAAAAATACAGCCATTTGTATACTTTCACATCCTTAGTTTTGTTGTTGTTGTTTTCATCTATAGCAGAAAAACCATAATAGTAGATCAAATTTCATTGATTAAGACAGACAGGTCTTGGGGGTGTATACCTTTAATACCAACACTGGGGAGGCAGAGACAGGTGGATTTCTTTCAATCTGAGGCAAGCCAGGCCTATGTAGTGAGACTCTGTCTTCAAAAAATAAATGAATAAGTAAAAAAAAAAGACAAAATTAAAAAAATTCCCCCTAAATTAGTAGCTTTATTTTTACCCCTACATTTCCCTAACTCTCCATGGTGAACTACTCTTTAGTTTAGATTGACATGTTACCTTTCTTCTCTTTTTCCCTGAGCTCTTTTGAAGTATTTATAGTTCACCAGCTACAAGGGGGAGGCACTGTTCCTGTAGATTTGTAGTCTCTACACAGTTTTTCTGAGATCCCTACAGTAGAAGAATGTTTGAGAACACATTGCTAGAATCTGGAGGCTTACCTCTACATCCCCGTATGAAGACACTGGAGAACACAGCAAGTTCTACAGAAATGGATGATAAAGGGATGCATTTAAAACAAAAGGAGGCTGGCCATTTGGTACTGGATAACCAATTAGTATATTGTTCCCTGGGAAGACAGCTTCTCCCTCTCTGAGACTTCCTTAGATGCCTGCAGTCCTTTGTGTAGGGTTGAGGCCTCGAGTGGTCTTTCAATGTTTGCTTTCGATGTCTATTATTGTTGTCTTTGTTCAATCATGTTGGTGAGACTTTATGGGTGTAGCTTCTGGCATTCCTAGGAAACACAGTCTCACAGTAAAGTCCCTGATTCTCTGGCTTGCACAAATCTGTCTGTCCCTTCTTCTGCAATGACCTTTGACCTTAGGTGAAGGAGTTATGTTGTAGCTCTATCTGTTGGGACTGGGCTCCATAACTCTACATTTTGAATGCCTGTAATTTTCTGTAATGTTGTAAGATACAATAATGTTACCCAGACTGAGCAGGTTTTGTGTGTTATATGTGTGTTTTTATGTGTGTGTGTGTGTGTGTGTGTGACAATACTTAATGAAAAAAGAGACCATGAATTCGAAAGTGAACAGAGGGATATATGGAGGGAGGAAAGGGAAGAGAGAAATGATGTAATTATAATCTCAAAATATAACAAAAAATAAAGAAAAATAAAATTAGTAGTATTAATGTTTTTCCTTATTGTCACCATACCCCAGCAGGCCACAGCAGGCCTAGTGCTCCTGAGGTGAGGGACAGTCACCTCTTGCTCTCATAAGATAATAATTGCTCAGGCGTCATTCCAGATGGACACTTCCAAGACCCATGTGTACTCATAAATCAAGACTGAAATATATTGGCCAGATTTTAAAAAGTAGAGCATACTGTACTAGTTTAAAAATTAAAAAACAACTTAAAATAGAAACTCTTTAGATAAACCTGCTATGGGATAATGCTTTTGTACACTGGTTTAATAAAACGCTGATTGGTCAGTAGTCAGGCAGGAAGTATAGGCAGGATCAGCAGACAAGGAGAATTCTGGGAAGAGGAAGGTTGAGTCAGGAGACACCAGCCTGCCATCCAGGGAGCAGCATGTAATGGCACACAGGTAAAGCCATGGAACACATGGGGACATATAGATTAATAGTTATGGGCTAATTTAAGATATAAGAACTAGCTAGCAAGAAACCTGCCATGGCCACAGTTTAAAAATAAGCCTGTGTGTTTACTTGAGGGATGTGAGTGGGAGAGATTTGTCCTGACACAGAAAAACTTCAGCTGCAACCTTCAATGCAAAGTCACTTTGAAATATTTTCAAGCCAATGAATTATGAAATAAAAATCCAAGAAATAAAACAATTGTGAATCTTTAGTCTAGACCAACATTTGCTTAATCATTTGAAATCAATCATAATTTTGTTTACCATAAGCTTTTGCAAATCTGATTTGCTTTTACTTAAGATTATTTTTTGCAATCTATTTCTACATAGTTATCTCAATTTATAAATTAATGGGTATTATTAATAATTGTGAGCTTAAATTGCATAGTGAATTGTGTGTATGTCATAGAAAAACTCATTAAATTCTTCTTACCTGCTCATTCAGGTGATTTTTTTTCTGAGTAATAGCCCTCTCTACATATTATTTTCTCATTATATTAGCTATAATCATCTTTGGCTATATTTAAATAAACTGAATTTAATTTCTATTGCAGTAGTTTGATTCATTTTTAGCTTAGTTTTTACATCTATACTTTATTTCATGGCACTAATTAAAATAGTGTCGTGATGTTTATGAAGTTACTTGGTCCACTTGTTTTCAAATTCTAGTTCTGTGTCTCCAGAGAAGGGGACTTTTAATTCCTTTTTAAAATTCGTTATGATGATTTGGTTTTCCTCTTCCCTGTCAGCCATCTGGCATCCTCTCGGCACAGCTCAGGGTTCAGCCAGTACTCAGTGTTTACATCTTTAGTCACTGTGCAGTTACTGCCTAGCACTACTTCTCCTTCCTCATAGACCTTTTAATTTTCTCCCGAATTAATAGTTGCCTTTCTTCCTGTTTGTGTTTCTAGCCTTCTGTGTACCCAGCCTTATCTCTTCTCAGGATTCTGAGCTTCATTTGCATGGTGTCCACAGGGTTGATTAGGAAAACTTCCAATTTCCTGTTCCTGGACACTCCACTCTTTTAGCTGCTGTGGCAACGTAAACTGAACTTCACCGTAGGTCTGGTACACAGCCATTATTGTAGATCTTTCCATTTTCTCCTGTTCTTCCCTCCTGCATCAGCCTCCTGGCTGATAGCATGCACCAGGAACACCTTGGCCTTCCTGATTTTGAAGGCATTTCTTCATGCTTTTAGAGTCCTGCTGGTTGTTAGAATCCCACTGCTGTTCTTACTCCAGTTGCCCAATCAGTGGGCTATGGTATCTCTCTAGAGATTCCAGGGTATTTCTTTTATCCTTGGCACTGAGTAGGCCTTTTTATTTAGTGTGTCTGAATGAAAGTGTGATCTGAAGTCTGGAGATTAAACCTGCTTCCTGGGACATGTTCTGTACTGTTCACTGCCCTTCTTGTTGCTGTTTTCTTGGCTCAACTTTCTAGAACTCTTAGGTACTCTTGGTCTCAGCATTCTCCTAACTTTAGAGTTTATGTGTCTTTATCTCTATTTGTTATATCTCTGGATTTTTAAAATCATTTTACTGAACACTTGACTTTTAAACTTGGCTTTGCTCTCCAAATGTTCCATGCTGTCCTTGGTTCCATCCTCACAGGATCTGGCTTTTACTCCCTCCCAGTATAAGGTAGACTTCCTGCATCCATCTTTGTTTCTCCATGCATAGTCTGGTCTCTTTCTGTTGGATGCTTTCCTTATGTCTCTGATGATGAAGGGCTACCTTTGATATTACAGAAGGGAGTGAAACCATTGTTAGAATCACTCTGTGTTCTAGTCAAGGCCATCACCTGGAGACTCAAAGCATGGTGGAGATTTCTTCAGTGATCCTGAAGTTGGTGTCCATCTAAGCCTTGCTCCAAAGAAACTGTCTAGTGTCTGGCCTGGTGCCATGGCCTGTGTTGTTATTGTGGGAGGCACGTGGTTGGGAGGGCTCAGGGGACCATATTTGATTTGGATTTTCACTGAGTTCCCTTGAGTGTAGCCATCTGCTTCTTGGTGCTTAGCTGGCTGTGGTGCTTTGGACAATGAATCTGTTTCCTGTTGGTGTCCAAAGCACTGTGTGGGTAGGAGGGAGTCTTCTCAGACATGTGGAACGTGAGCCCTGCCAGGCCACCATTGTTTTTTTCCTCACCACCTTCCAAGGTATCATTGTGACACCTCATCCTCTGCTGTCACCACACCCATCCTCAGAGACAATCCCTGCCCATATTTACCAAGGCTTTTAGAATTGGAAGAGGTAAACGTGCATGATCAGTTCCCTTTTAAACTGGAAGT